GAGATCTCAAATATAATGTGAGGAACACATGTCTGAACACTTGAGGTAAAAGGTAACTGGGACTTTATGTTAAATATAGGTACAGATAGGGAAGATAATACGAATATATAGGCCGGCATGGTGGCTCATGCCTGTAATCCTAGCACTCTGGGAGGCCGAGGCAGGTGGATATCTCTAGGTGAGGAGTTGGAAACCAGCCTGAGCAAGAGCGAGACCCCGTTTCTAGAATAAATACTAGAAGTTAATTGGCCACATAATATATGTAGAAAAAATTAGCCCGGCATGATGGTGCATGCTTGTTGTCCCAGCTACTTGGAAAGCGAGGCAGTAGGATTTTGCTTGACGCCAGGAGATTGAGGTTGCTGTGATAGGCTTGACGCCACGGCACTCATCTAGCCTGGCAATGAAAGCTAGGACTCTGGTCATAAAAAAAAAAAAAAAAGAAGATGTATTATATTGCAATGATTTTAGAAGTTAATTTTAGTTTGATCGAGATTTTTATTATTTTTTGCTTTATGGTTTTTAAATTTGTGAAATTCAATACATTTTATTATATGTTAACAAAATTAATAATTTTATGATTAAAAATTTCTTAAAATGTGAAAGGTTGCAATAGCAAGTGTTACTTTTGGATTCCTTGGAAAGAAACTGCTTTCTAAGAATACGGTAGAGAGAAATTTCAACTATGTAAATATATTTATATAGTATGCAATTTAATAAGGTTGTTCGAAGACTTTGTTTAAAAAGTAACAACCCATATGCGTAAAATGTAATTCAAGTGAAAAATGGTGCATGTACACTTGTATATAAACGATATTCTAATTAATATGTAGTCAAAATATATTAAATGGGGCAATAAAAGCATTTTTCATGTTTGTGAAAATGAACACTTAAATATTTGTTAGTATAGTAAATTGCAAAAATCAGAGTGGAATTTCTTATGCAAACTATAATTATACTTCATCCATTTAATACTATTATTTATATATTAAATGATATAAATCCTTTTTTATATGGACATAAATAATAACATTTGTGTGGATTGAAAGAGTAGGAGATGTATCCAAAATGTTATCAGTGGTGTTAATATTTATGACAGTGCTTACTGTTTGAGCAGTGTGTGGTTATCCAAGATTGGCAAAACTTCTGTTCCAGTTACAAATGAGAAAATGGTTTTGGAGCTTATTTCTTAAAAGATAAATGATAATACACCTTCTCCCCAACCACCCACCGAATATACAGTAGTCATAGGGAAGCAATCAATCGAAGGTCCTTATATGACATGAGGAAATGCTTGTCTTTTAAAGATAAATGAAATAACAAGAAATAACTCTTGAGTATCCTCTGATTGGAATTATATATCCTGCCATGTAGGGCACTTTATGACATGTATAGTGATGAGAACCCTCTGAGTGCTTCTTTTAAGACTCTAGCCATGGCTGCCAACAATTGAACACTTATGGCCTAGGTCTTTATGCAGAAAGTAGGGAATTCATTGGGAACCTGGGAGATGAATGAGCCAGGCAAGGACATGTGGATCAGTATTTAGTGATGTCCTCCAAGCCTTGAGTTTGCAGCATTTTCTTTTTTTTGTTTAGTCCTAGATTCTTGAGACTTGCACCCCAGAAGCAGACAACTTGCTACCTGGGTAAATGCTGGAAATACGCTGCTGAATGAACAAGAACAAAAATGGTAAGGGAAGGCCTTTTGGAAATTTAATTTTTAAATAAAGAATAGGCCTGATAAGAGTTGTGGAATTAGGGGTCAGTGAAGTTATAGATGGAAACCAAGGGCAAAAGTGCAGCAGCCTGATCAGATTTCCTGAAGCTGGGCAAAATGGAAGGCAACCATATTTCCTGGCACTTGTATGACTTGATGGCTTTTTTTGGGACAGAACGGGGGGGAGAAGAGGGCCTAGGGGTAGGCACTTGTTATTATATATGGAGTACTACTGCCATCCTGCGGAAATAGTTTTCAAACACTGTATGCCATATTGCTTCATTCCTGTCAGGACTTTCGGTTTAGAATGGTTTGTTCAGTGGAGAGGCTGAGTAGGCCCTGGCCTAGAACTGGGCCTCTCTAGCTTCTCTTGAGTAATTCCAGGAGCTCTGAGTAAGGGATTAATGCTGGTATAACAGAGGCGATGTCCAGGTATCAGCGATTGTTATTGAGGGCAACAATGGAGTCCAGGCACAGGAAGTTGTTGTTTAATGGGGCTTGGGTTGAGGAAACCTCCCAGAGCTCAGGGCAGGATCTGTGGCCCCTCCTGACCTGTCCCTTTACCTCAGAGGATGGTACAGGCTAGTTAACCTTGTTCTGGAGCGATAGAATTCGGTCTTGTGGTAGCAGCATCACAGTGCACAAGATAGGTTATTTGGAGGTGATGGAACAGTACATGTATTTTCTGGAGGATTCTGTACACAACAAAAGTCTGGACCCCATTACCTTGAGGGGGGGGGAACAAATGAAGAAGCGTTGATGGCCACCCTACTAAGCCAAGAAGCGCCATATCATGTGCAGGGGGAGCAGAGGCAGGTACAAAGGAGGCAAACAATATGAGGAAGGCCAGAAGGGACTTTCTGGGTCCAAAGGCAGTAAAGACAGTGACTTGCATCTGCTTTCTCCTCCTAAGCCAAAGACTCTATTCCTGTCTCAGTTCTCTTGATGAGGTTGGAGGAGGAGGGTGAGGGGTGCTTATCTCTCAGTTGTTCTCCCAGAGGATGCTGAGTTCCTTCAAGCCTATCAGTGCTCCTCATACTTAACAATTGTTCTCCTCTCTAAGCGCTGCATAAGATTTCTAGGTTAAGATACCTAGTACGCCTGACATGATGGCCATTGTTTTGGTACCGAATATTCTCAAATCTGTGCTTCTTGTTCCCAACTTGGGGAAGGAATATCTAGGATTCCTTGAGATTCGCTGGGAAACTAAGAACCCTTCTAGTGCCCCTCTTCTACTGTCTTCACTCTGTCAGCATTTGACTTCTTAGAGTAGTGGAAGATGATTTAGTCTTGTGCTTAGATGGGAGCTTCCTGTGACAGAAAATGTTTAACAATTGGTTTCTGTTGTATTGAAAGCAAAGGCAGGATGAGTAAAGGAATTAAATACCCAATTCACAAAAACTGAATTCCAACTGTTTATTAAAGAAATGAAAAATAATTCAAATTTTCTAGTGTTTAAGCATTAATTGTCAAGAAACCTTGTGCTGATGGATACAGTAGTTTATAAATACATGTACCAATATTTGCCCATACTTATATCTGTGCATGCAGACTGGTCATATGTATTTATATATAAAGGAATGTTGTCTAGTGCACCTCTGTTATATATGATCACCACCTGAACTCGGCTTACTCAGGTGGACTTATAAGTCTTGCCAGTAAGTTTCTAGCAAATATAACAAGGATCATTGTGTTTCTCAGGATACTGGCCCTTCTGGTGTCCTTGCCTGGGTGTACCTGTCATTGAGGATGTTAGTGGTTGAGATCAGCCAAGGAGGGTTTGGAGACACTGGTGAAATCATGTCTCAATGGTCTCAATTCACCTATGAAGGTATACGATGACCGCTGACCTCTTTAGGCTACTTCAGCTAAGCAGGTGACAGAGAGAAACCTTGTATCAGATGAGTTAAACTGCTTGTTGTGCAGTAATGGTTTAACTTGACCATATGCTAGACTAGGGAATCCAGATGTATGAAGACAGTGCACCACATCTGGAGTTAGAACTTTGGGTGACAAAGAGGTAGCCCTATTCCTGGAACTTGTGATGCTCGAAATGTTGTATTCACACACATTTTGATTTTCATTAAAAGATTCAATCTGGTAAGGGAGTTGATGGAAGCACAAAGCGATAGCAACTTACTAAGTCCCATGAATTCAAGCATGACACCAGGACCATTCAGAAGATACTGTAACTATTGCTAACGCTAAATACTTCCCAAACTATGACACTCATGTCATATCAAAAGGTGTTTCAAAATGAAAAGTTAAAAGTAAAATGACCCAGCCAGAAATGTGCCAAATGGCTAAGTCGCCTCTCTGTATTATCAGAGAGTCTCAAATTCACCAGTACTGAAGTGAATTGCAATTCATTAAGTTCTTCCATAATGCCCCTCACTCTTCATCATAACATTGAACAAGTCCCTTGAGAATGAATCCATTGATATCACTGTTTGTGTAATGATGTATAGAATGGGAAAGGCTCTTACCAGGTGAGAAGTATTGTTAATTGGTTCAATGTTTCAAAGGTCCGTTGGTCAACATCAGTTAACATTTGACATGTCCTTCCCTTTGTCCAGAGACTGCCTTTCCAAAGTGATCATACAGCTACAAGTCCACAGGAAAGTAGAGAGGTAGGGCTAAAGTTGATCATTGAAATTTCTTTTTCATGAGTGAGGGTGGGAAGAAGAAGAGGGTCGATTTTCCAGATTCTCTTCACTTACAGCAGTTAGTCTTTTCAAGCCTTTGGGAAGATTGAAATCCATTCTCCAAGTCCTTATTGGTACCCGTGTACACCTTTGCTTTGGAATGAAATGCAAAATGTTGTAACTTTGGGATTAACCCATTCTAGTTTGCCAATACCAACAAATTGAAATGAAAAATTAAGTCTCACTCTGTCTATCCCTTGTGTACGTGTTTAGTTTAAGTTGTACACGTAAAAATAGGGATTCAAAACAGTGAATTGGCACAAAGGAATTATCTAGAACGTTCCCGACCCATAGTTAACAGTGTGTAACTTTCTAGAGTGGTGTTTCCAATGGCTTGCCTTCAAGTTTTACTTACACTTGTCTGAAGCCTTGAAATGTTAAAAATTAGAAAACTTCACATTTGAAATTTAAAAAATACCAAGAAAGAAACATCTCCGAATATATAATTGAGAAAATAACATATTACAAGATGTATTTTTCTTTAAAACATGTGTATTTCTACATACGTGAGAGATATAAAGATTCTACTTTTAAGTTTTTTGCTACCAGAATGCTATTTCCAAATTTTCCTTACAGACAATCCAGCTTTCCGAAGCGTATTGAATGACATGACAAGGCTTATGTGGTTTAGGACCTGAGAAAACCATGATGGAAAGAACAACTCATGTTACAAGGATATTTTACATGTTTCCTGTAAGTAAAAATTCATAATACTAAATCATGACCACCTGTCCATACATGCCCACATATACAAAATTAAATAGTAAATATACAAGAGAAGAATGGAAGAGATCGAATATAAGTGAACTATTAAACTTTCAAGATTATCATTATTTTATTGCTTTGTATTTGCCCCATTTACTCATTCTTTTACACATATATGTTATTCTTATGATTTGATTAATAGTAGAAGAATGGTACGAAATTTAACTCTAAAAAACTATCATGTTTCCCATGTATAGTTAATGCTTTTAGGAAGTGCCCACTGTCCAATGTTGAGTCAAGAATTCAGGGCATCAAACTCCATGTATAGTGTGAGTAAGATGGATCTAAAGAAGAGAAATGGAAATATTTATTTTGTGTGTGCGTTTTCTTTATGCACTGGAATTTGGGGAATATATTGATCATGTATAGGGTAAACCTATTTTTTTTCTTTTCTTTTTTATTTGAGACATAGTCTACCTCTCCTACCCTGGATAGAGTGCCATAGTGTCAAACTAGCTCAGAGCCTCCTCAAACTTCTGGGCTCAAGCAGTCCTTTTGCCTCAGCTTCCAGAGTAGGTGGGACTACAGGCATGCACCACAATGCCTGGCTAATTTTTTTATGTATTTTTAATTGTCTGCCTAATTTCTTTCTAGTTTTTAGTATAGACTGGGTCTTGCTTACCCTCAGGTTGGTTGGAACTTTAGGGCTCAGTTAAGTTTCAGATGGAAACCAAAGGCCAAAGTGCAGCAGCCTGATGAAGTTTCCTGAAGCTGGGCAAAATGGAAGGCTACCATATTTCCTGGTTCTTCTATGTCTTGATGGCGTTTTTTCAGACAGGATGGGCGGGAGAAGAGGGCCTAGGGAGCAGTACTTGTTATCATATATGGATCTCTACTGCCATCGTGCGGAATTAGTTTTCAAACACCGTATGCCCTATTGCTTCATTCCCCTAGAACTTTTGGTTTAGAAGACTTTGTTCAGCTGAGAGTCTGAATAGGCCTTGGCCTGGAATGGGGGACTCTCTGACTTTTCTTGAGGTGTTCCAGGAGCTCGGGGTATAGGATTAATGCTGGTATAAGAAAGGCGATGGCCAAGTATCAGAGATATTTATTGAGGGGCAGAATGGAGTCTAGGCCCAGGAAGTTGTTGGGTGGGGCTTTGGTTGAGGAAACATTGCAGAGCCCATTGTAGGACATCTGGCCCCTGGTCTCCTGTCTGTCACTCTCAGAGGATGGTACAGGTCAGTTATCTTTCTCTGCACCCATAGAATTTCAGCTACTTGTGGTAGCATGATCGCAGTGCATAAGACAGGTTTTTTCGAGATGATAGAACAGTACATGTGCTTGCTGGGGGGTTTCCTACACAACAAAAGTCAGGAACACTTTTCCTTGAGGAAGGAGAACAAATGGAGAAGCATTTTCGGCCATCCTACTAAGCAAAGAAAAGCCATACTGTGTGCTGGGCGAGCAGAGGTAGGCATGAAGGAGGCAAAAAATATGAGGAAGGCCAGAAGGGATTCTCTGGGCCAAAAGGCAGCAAAGACAGTGACTTAGATCTGCTTTTTCCTGCCTAAGGCAAAGGCTTTATTCCAGTCTCAGTTCTCTTCGTGAGGTTACCAGGAGGAGGGTGAGGTGTTCTTATGTCTCAGTTGTTCTCCCAGAGAATGCTAAGTACCTTGAAGCCTAGCAGTGCTCTTTATACTTAATAAATGTTCTCCTTGTCACCACTGTGTAAGAGTTGCACGTGAAGATTCCTAGTAAGCCTTATAAGATGGCCAGTGTTTTGGTGCCAAATATTCTCAAATCTTTGCTGCTGGATCCCAACTTGGGGAAGAATGTCTAGGATTACTTGAGATTCGCTGTGAAACTGAGAACCATTCTGGTGCCCCTCTTGTACTGTCTTCACTCTGTCAGCATTTGACTTCTTAGAGTAGTGGAAGATGATTAGTCTTCCACTGAAGATGTCTTCCAGTCTTCCACTGGAAGATGATTAGTCTTCCACAGCTAAATACTGTGCTTAGTAGTGAGCTTCCTGTGACAGAAAATGTTTATCAATTATTTTATGTTTTATTCAAACCAAAGCAGATGAGCGAAGGAATTAAATACCCAATTGACAAAGAATTATTCCTACTGTTTATTAAACAAAATGAAAAAGTACTCAAAATTACTAGTGTTTAAGCATTAATTGTCAACAACCTTGTGCTTATGTTACACTAGTTTTAAAATACATGTACCATATTGCACATACTTATATCTGTGCATGCATACTGGTTATATATGTATTTGTACATAAAGGAAAGTTATTTTACTGCACTTCTGTAGTATATGATCACCACCTAAACTGTGCTTACCCAGGTGTACGTATGACACTTGCCAGTAAATATCTAGGGAATCTTACAAGAACCATGTGTTTTCTGGGCAAATTGGCTCTTCTGGTGTCCTTGCCTCTGTCTAGCTGTCCCTTGAGGATGTTATTGCTGAGATCAGCCAAGTAGGGTTTGGAGACACTGGATAAATCATGTCTCAATGGTCTCAGGTCACTTATGAAGGTAAATGATGATCTCTGACCTCTTCAGGTTACTTCAGCTGTGCAGGTGACAGAGAGAAACCTTGTATCAGATGATGAGTTAAACTGCCTGTTGTGCAGTAATAGTTTAACTTGACCATATGGTAGACTAGGGAAACCGGAGGTATGAAGACAGTGCACCACATCTGGAGTTAGAACTTGGGTGACAAAGAGGTAGCTCTAGCCCTGGAACTTCTAAATCTCCAGTATGTTGTATTCACACACATTTTGATTTTCATGAAGAGATTGCATCTGGCCAGGGAGTGGATGGAAGCACAAAGGAATAGCACCGTACTAAGTTCTAGAAATTCAAGCAAGTCACCAGGACCATTCCCAAGATACTGTAACTATTGCTAACGCTAAATACTGTTCAAACTATGACACTCATCTCAGATCAAAAGCTGTTTAAAAATGAAAAGTTAAATGGAAAACCACGGTGTCAGAAATGTGGCAAATGGCTAAGTCACCTCTCTTTATCATCAGAGTGTCTCAAATTCACCAGTACTGAAGTCAATTGCCTTTCAGTAAGTTCTTCCATAATTCCTCTCACTCTTCATCATCACCTTGAGGAAGTCACTTGAGAATGAAGCCATTGATATAACTGTTTGTGGAATGATTTGTAGAATTGGACAAGCTTCTACCAGTTGAGAAGTATTGTTAATTGGTTCACCTTTTCAAAGGTCCCTTGGTCAACACCAGTTAATATTTGACACGTCATACCAATATATAATTAAGAAAATAACATATTACAAGATGTATTTTTCTTTAAAACATGTGAATTTCCACATACATGTAAGATATAAAGATTCTACTTTTGGCCGGGCACGGTGGCTCATGCCTGTAATCCTAGCACTCTGGGAGGCTGAGGCGGGCGGATTGCTCAAGGTCAGGAGTTCAAAACCAGCCTGAGGGAGACCCTGTCTCTACCATAAAAATAGGAAGACATTAATTGGCCAACTAATATATATATATATATATAAATCAGCCGGGCATGGTGGCTCCTGCCTGTAGTCCCAGCTACTCGGGAGGCTGAGGCAGGAGGATCGCTTGAGCACAGGAGTTTGAGGTTGCTGTGAGCTAGGCTGACTCCAGGGCACTCACTCTAGCCTAGGCAAGAAAGCGAGACTTTGTCTCAAAAAAAAAAAAAGATTCTACTTTTAATTTTTATGTTAACAGAATGCTATTTCCGAATTGTTAATAGAAAATCTAGCTTTCTGGATCGTATTGAATGACATAACAAGGCTTATGTGGTTTAAGATATGAGAAAACTCAAGTTACAAGGATATTTTACATGTATCCTGTAAGTAATTATTCCTACCGATAAATACCGACAACTTGTCCACATATGCCCACACATGCACAATTACATAGTAAATGTAAAAGAGCCGAATGCAAGAGATTGAATATCAGTGAACTATGTATTAAACTTTCAAGATTATAATTACTTTACTTTTATATATTTGCTCCATTTACTGATTCTTTTACCCATATATGTTATTCTTATGATTTGATTAATAGTAGAAGAATGCTAAGAAATTTAACCCTAAAAAACTATCATGTTTCCCATGTATAGTTAATCCTATTAGAAAGTGCCCACTGTCCAATGTTGAGTCAAGAATTCAGGGCTTCAAAGTCCATGTATAGCGTTACCAGGATGCATCTGAAGAAGAGGAATGGAAATGCTTTTTGTGTGCACGTTAGCATTGTCCTCTGGAGTATGGAGAATATATTGATGAGGTATAGGCTAAGTCTATTTTCTTTCTTTTCTTTTCTTTTCTTTTCTTTTTTTTTTTTTGAGACACAGTCTCTCCTGTTGCCGGAGTTAGAGTTCCATGGCGTCAAAGTAGCTCAGAGCCTCTTCAAAATGCTGGGCTGAAGCAATCCTTTGGCCTCTGCCTCTCGAGTAAGTGGGAGTACACGGTTGCACCACAATGCCCGGCTAATTTTTATTTTTTATTTTTAATTGTCCGGCTAATTTCTTTCTATTTTTTAATATAGACTAGGACTTGCTTTTGCTCAGGTTGGTTTCAAACTCCTGATCTTGAGCGATCTTCCTGCCTTGGCCTCCCCGAGTGCTAGGATTACAGGCCTAAGCCATTGGGCCCTGCCTAGGTTAAATCTATTTCGTTAAATAGCATCAGTTATGATGAACAGTTGTATATCACGTTTATAGTATTTAAACCAATATATTCATTTAGCTGCTAGTATTGGACTCCTGGATAAAGTGGGATTTGCGATAAAGTGTTTCCATATGTTCTTGAAATAATGTGTATTCTTGGTAGATTTTTCAAGAAGCTGATGATATATTTGTAATTTGAGAAACAACCCAGAACCAATAGGTGCAGAAGAAATTGTTGTTGAAGACTTGATCCGTTGGCTGTTTTAGACCTAATATGTTTATATCTCTAATTGATCACAGAAAACAGTTGGATTCATGACACCCATGTTTTTTTTTTAAATTCCTTGTCTGATTGATTGAGAGTAGCTTGTGATCTCAGTGCACTTCTTTTTACATGGCTAATGTGTCTGGTTATTTTGTAAACAGGTATGCTTTAATTCTATGAAATGTAAAAATATATAGAGGCAACATAAAAAATATTATGTATTGTAAGGAGTACTTAATGCTATTTTCAAAGACTTCAAAGTATAATGTGAAGAAAGCATGTCTGAGATACATGGTAACTGGGACTTAATATTAAATTCTGTATGGATACGGTATATATAAGAACGTATGGCAAAGATTTTTTAAAGGTATTTCTTTTAGTTTTGATTGATGTATTAATTTGGCTTTCTGATTTTTTAAATTGTAAAATTTAATAAATTTTAATTATTAAATAAAATTTAATAAATTTTTAGTGTCTAAACTCTTAAAATGTGAAAATGTTGTCAACAACAAATGTTACTTTTGTAATTATTTGGAAGAGAAACTTCTTTTTACAATACAGTATGAAGAAATTTCCAGCTAGGGAAAATATATCTTGATATACGAGGATGCAATTAATATAAGATGGTAGAGAAGAGTTTGTACAAAATTACACCTAGTGTGAGTTAAAATGTAATTAAAGTGAAATAAGTGAGTACATTGTATATATAATGTATAGTATATTAAATAACCTGGATGGAAAATATGTAATAAATGGGTCAATAAAAAGCATTTTTCATGCTTTAGTAAACATGAAGACTTCACAATTTTATATAATATTGTCAAATTGCCCAAAAATCAGGCGTGAGAATTTCTTCTGCAAACTATAATGTACAAATATCCAATTTTAAAATTTATAATTTTATATATTAAATTTAATATAAATTTATTGTTAGGTATGGACATACACATAACATTTTGTGTGGATTGAAAGGAGTCAAAGTCATAATCCAAAAGGTTATCAGTGGTCTTAATAGTTTTTATGACAGTGCATTACTGTTTCTCAGTGCATGGTTATTTCCAAATCCTTGGCAAACCATTTGTCTTAGTTACTGAAGAGAAAATGGTTTTGAGGCTTATTTCTGAAGAGATAAATGATAATACAAAACCTCTCCTCAACCACCCCACTGAATACACAATAGTCATAGGAAGCAATCAAAGGTCATTTAATGACATAAGAAAATACTTGTCTTTTAATCGCAAATGAAATAACATGACATAACTCTTGAGTATCCTCTGATTTGAATTATATATCCTGCCATGTAGTGCACTGTATGGCATATATAATGATGAGATATTTCTGGTGCTTCCCTTAAATCTCTAGCTATGGCTTCCACTAATTCAACACTTATGGTCTAGGGTGTTATGCAGAAAATATGGAATTCATTGGGAGCCTGAGAGATTGATGAGCCAGGCAAGAACATGGGGATTGGTATTTAGTGATGTCCTCCAAGCCTTGAGTTTTTAGCATTTTCGTTTTGTGTTTAGGGCTAGATTCTTGAGATTTGCACCACAGAAGGAGACAAGTTGATAACTTGGGAAAATGGTGGAATTGTAATGCTGAATGAACAAGAATAAAACTGGTAAGGCAAGGCCCTTTGGAAATTTAATTTTTTTTTTTTTTTCACAGTCTCCCTTTGTTGTCCCAGATAGAGTGAGTTTCTTGGCTTCAGCCTAACTCATAGCAACCTGAAGCTCCTGGGCTCAAGAAATCCTTCTCCGTCAGCCTACCAAGTGGATGGGACTACAGGGATGCACCCCTATTCCTGGCTAATTTTTCTATGTATATATATTAGTTGTCCAATTCCTGGCTAATTTTTCTATGTATATATATTAGTTGTCCAATTATTTTATATCTATTTATAGTAGAGATGGGGTCTTGCTCTTGCTCAGGCTGGTTTCCAACTCCTGACCTGGAGCAATTGCCTGCCTTAGCCTCCTAGAGTGCTAGGATTACAGGGGCGAGCCACTGGGCCAGGCCGAAATTTATTTCTTAAATAATGAATAGGCCTGATAAGAGTGGTCAACTTAGGGCCCCTTTACGTTTTAGATGGAAACTAAAGGCAAAAGTGCAGCAGCATGATGAAGTTTCCTGAAGCTGGGCAAAATGGAAGGCTACCATATTTCCTGGCACTCCTATATCTTGATGGCGTTTTTTCAGACAGGAAGGGCGGGAGAAGAGGGCCTATGGAGCGGAACTTGTTATCATATGTGGAGCACTACTGCCATCGTGCGGAAACAGTTTTCAAACACAGTATGCCATACTGCTTCATTCCCGTGGGGACTTTCGATTTAGAAGGGTCCTTCAGTGGAGAGGCTGAGTAGGCCCTGGCCTGGAACTGTACCTCTCTAGCTTCTCTTGAGTTAATCTGGGATCTCTGGATACAGGATTAATGCTGGTATGATAGAGGGGATGACCAGGTATCAGCAATTGTAATTGAGGGGCAGAATGGAGACCAGGCACAGGAAGTTGTTGGGTGGGGCCTTGGTTGAGGAAACCTCCCAGGGCCTAGGGCAGGACTTGTGTTCCCTCATCTTGTGTCCATGTCCCTCAGAGGATGGTACAGGCCAGTTCAACTTGTTCTGGAGCCATAGAATTTTCGCTTCTAGTAGTAGCAGCGTCACAGTGCACAAGACAGGTTATTTGGAGGTGACAGAACAGCACATGTGGTTTCTGGGGGATTTCATACACAACAAACGTCTGGAACCCGTTGCCTTGACGAAGGAGAACTAATGTAGAAGCATTGGTGGCCACCCTGCTAAGCAAAGAAAAGCCATACCATGTACTGGGCTAGTAGAGGTAGGCAAGAAGGAGGCAAAAATGTAAGGAAGGTCAGACGGGATACTCTTGGCTAAAATGCAGTAAAGAGAGTGACTTCCATCTTCTTTCTCCTGCCTAAGGCAAAGGCTGTATTCCAGGCTCAGTTCTCTTGGTAAGGTTGGAGAGGAGGGAGAGGTGGTCTTATCTCTCACTTGTTCTCCCAGAGAATGATGAGGTCCTTGAGGCCTAGCAGTGCTCCTCACACTTAACAATTTTTCTCTTCTGTCACTGCTGTATAAGACTTCTAGGTGAAAATACCTAGTAAGCCTGACAAGACGGCCATTGTTTTGGTGCTGAATATTTTCAAATCTGTGCTTCTTGTTCCCAACTTGGGTAAGAATGTCTAGGATTACTTGAGATTTACTGCAAAATTGAGATCTGCTCTGGTTCCCGTTTTCTATGTCCTCACTCTGTCAGCATCTGTCCTCTTAGGGTAGTGGAGGATGATTTAGTCTTGTGCTTAGATGTGAGCTTCCTGTGACAGAATTTATTTAACAATTGGTTTCTGTTGTATTGAAACCAAAGGCAGGATGAGTAAAGGAATTAAATACCCAATTCACAAAAAAAGAATTCCAACTGTTTATTAAAGAAACGAAAAATAATTCAAATTTTCTAGTGTTTAAACATTAATTGTCAAGAAACCTTGTGCTTATGGATACACTAGTTTATAAATACATGTACCAGTATTTGCACATACTTTTATGTATGGAAGCATACTGATTATATACGTATTTATATATAAAGGAATTTTTTCTAGTGCACGTCTGTAATATATGATCATCACTTGAACTCTGCTTACCCCGGTTGAGTTATGACTCTTGCCACTAAGTGTCTAGCAAATATTACAAGGACCATTGGTTTTCTGGGGTAATTGGCTCTTCTGGCAATCTTGCCTGGATCTAGCTTTGCTTGAGTATCTTACTGGTTGAGATCAGCCAAGGAGGGGTTGGAGAGACTTCAGAAGACATGTCTCAATGGTGCCAAATAACCTATCAAGGTATATGATGACCTCTGACCTCTTCAGCCTATTTGAGCTAAGCAGGTGACAGAAAGAAACCTTGTATCAGATGGGTTAAACTGCCTGCTGTACAGTAATAGTTTAACTTGATCATATGCTAGACTAGGGAATCCAGATGTATGAAGACATTGCACCACATCTAGAGTCAAACTTTGGGTGACAGAGCTAGCCCTAGTCCTGGAATTTCGCATGCTCCAGAATGTTGTATTCACACACATTTTGATTTTCACTAAGAAATTGCATCCGGCCAGGGAATGGATAGAAACACAAAGCAATAGCAACTTACTAAGTCTCAGGAATTCAAGCAAGACACCAGGACCATTAACAAGATACTGTAACTATTCCTAACCCTAAATACTATCCAAACTATGACACTCATCTCAGATCAAAAGCTGTTTCAAAATGAGAAGTTTAAAGGACAACCACCCAGCCAGAAATGTGACAAGTGGCTAAATCACCTTTCTGTATCATCAGAGAGTCTCAAATTCACCATTACTGAACTGAAGTGTAGTTCTACAAGCTCTTGCATAATGCCCCTCACTCTTCATCATAAACTTGAGCAAGTCCCTTGAGAATGAAGCCATTGAAATCCCTGTTTTTGTATGATTTATAGATTTGGAGAAGCTCCTCCCAGGTGAGAAGTATTGTTAATTTGTTCACTGTTTCAAAGGTCAATTGGTCAACATCAGTTAACATTTGACATATCATACCCTTTTTCCAGAGACTGCCTTCCACAGGAGAGTAGAGAGGTGGGGCTAAAGAGGATCATTGAAATTTCTTTTACAAAGGTGAGGTTGGGAAGAAGAAAAGGGTCCATTTTCGAGATTCCCTTAAGGGATAGCTTGTAGTCTTTTTAAGCCTTTGGGAAGATGGTAATGCATTCTCCAAGTCTTTATTAGGGGAACAGTTTACACCGTTGATTTAGGGAAGAAAATGCAAAATGTTCTAACTTTGGGATTAAACCATTCTAGTTGGCCAATACCAAAAAATACAAATGAAAAATTAAGTCTGATTCTATCTCTTACATACATTGTTAATTTATGTTTTAAACATAAAAATAGGGTTTCAAAAAAGTGAGTAGGCACAAAGGGATTATCTAGCAAGTTCCCTACTTTGCAATTAATGGTGTGTAATTTTCTAGAGTGATATTTCCAATGGCTTGCCTTCAAGTTTTACTAATACTTGTCTGAAGTCTTGAAATGTTAAAAATTAGAAAAGCTTACATTTGAAATTTTCAAAAGATCAAGAAACAAACATCATCCCAATATATAATTGAGAAAGTAACATATTTCAAGATGTATTTTTCTTTACAACATGTGCTTTTCTACATACATGAAAGATATAAGGATTCTACTTTAAATTTTTATGCTACTAGAATTGTATTTCCAATGCTCCTTAACAGAAAATCCAGCTTTCTGAAGCATATTGAATGACATGACAAGGTTTATGTCTCTTAGGACCTGAGAAAACTAGGATAGAAGGAAGCAACTCAAGTTAAAAGGATATTTTAAATGTATTTTGTAAGTAAAAATTCATACAGCTAAATCCTGACAACCTGTCCACATATGGCCACACATACACAATTAAATAGTAAATATATAAGAGCAGAATGAAAGAAGCGAACATTAGTGTACTACGTATTAATCTTCTCAAGATTATCATTACTTTACTTCTATATATTTGCTCCATTTAGTGATTCTTTTCCATATATATATTATTCTTATGATTTGCTTAAGATTAGAAGAATGGTATGAAATTGAATCATAGAAAAGTATGATATTCCCCATGTATGGTTAATCTTATTAGAAAGTGTCTGCTGTCCAATATTGAGTCAAGAATTCAGGGCATCAATGTCGATGTATAGTGTGACCACGATGGATCTGAAGAAGAGAAATGGAAATGTTCATTCTGTATGCACGTTAGCATTGTGCTCTGGAATATCGGGAATATATTGATGAGATGTAGGCTAAATCTATTTTTTTCTTTTCTTTT